AGAGGACCAGTCATGAATATACATCGAATACAGGTATTCCTATTTTAGTTTTTTTGTGTTTTTGTTTATGCATAAAGTCCTTTCTGCGCTTGTATTTCTGAATTCTACAAAAAAAAAAAAAAAAAAAAAAAATGCTTAAGGGCTGATTCATGCTACAGGCTTTCCCTTTTTTTTTTTTTTTTTTTTTTTTTTTTTTTTTTTTTTCCTGCATTGAAAATGCACAGAAAGTAGGTTACATGGTTCTCAATGGCATGGTTCACACTAGTGCTTGCAGTTTCAGTGCCTTCCGGGTTCCAGTAAGAAAAAGTAGAACATGTTGCACTTTTCCTGCACAGAACTATAAAGGAACATAGTAAAATGCAGCGGAATGCATCAAAAATGCACTGGACCCCAAAAGGCCCTAAAAAAGGCGCAAAAAAAAAGCATCTGGATCGCATCTAAAACACGCATGCAGAAACACATTCAGACTGCGTTTCTATGGTGTGGACCAACCCTAAACCCACAAGTGCTTTATTACCACTACTATTCCTTTTATATTTGGCTTTTGAAATTTACAAATGCAGCAATTCAGACACTGAATGAACGTTTAGCACCTTGAAACACTTTTTAATCGTGCATTTTTTTTACAACTATATATATATCAGACCAAATGAGGGACAAATGAGTAAGAAGGTGGGGCAGTGGGACTTTGTTCCAAATGAGGGACAGCCCCTAGAAATAAGGGACAGTTGGGAGCTATGATTTGATTAATATGTATGTATGTGGATACAAAAGTTCATCTAGACACCACATGATCAGTATATTATAAGTGTTACTAAAACCACAACAGAAAATTCAGTCTATGCAGTAAAGCATGGTTGTTATACTCACTGTGGAACCTAAAGGGTTAATCCTCCGCATTGTGTAAAAAGGTTTGATCCTGGCTTCTCTGATCCTCTTCTTCCACTGTCCCCAATCCATCTACTGATAGAACAGAGCATTGGGGGTAAGTTGCACATGCTCAGTTTGGTGTGTATTGCTAGTTTTTTTTTTTTTTTTTTTTTTTTTGGGATAGTGCATGTGATCAGTACAGGGCCGATCAGCACTGTCCAGACAGAGGGTCAGGGGTCCTGCAGTCTCTATAGGACAATCAGGGGAGAATGAAAACTCCTCATACAAACTTTAACCAGTACTCTGCTGGACACTGGTAGAAGTCACAAGACTGCCTAACTGCTGATTAGAAAAGGTACTTATTTACTAAAATAATTGCATTTCCATGTTCAGTGTACAGTGGGAGACCAGATATAGTGAATGCAGGTTCCTGGGTTTAGTAGCACTTAAAAATCAATACTGTGATTTAATTAATTTAAAAATTCTATGCTAAGCAACATATTGGAGGACTTGCAGAATTGCTATGTCAAAATTTAATAAAAGTCTTCTTTGTGTAGTCCTCTGGGTCCTGAAAGTCCCTTCAATAGGGAAATGGCCCCACGTGTACACATTAACATATTACATGCAGGAACTGCATCAATACAAGGGAAGAAAGTCATTCCACCACAGTGTTACCACGATGTTGTAGTCATGCTTACCACAATATTAAGTAATATTGTAAATGTGTATATTCTGTCTAAAGCTGGATACACATGGGCCTAAAATCATCTGAAAATGGTTGGTTTGGCAGAAACTGGTTGACTTTTGGCCCGTGTGCATAGTACAGCTGCCTCTAGGACAGAAGCTGGTATCATAAATGGCTTCTGTCGAATGAGCATGCTTGAAAACCAGCGTCCAATCAGCGCTTGCAACCAATGACTATGAGCACTGATCCATGTGTCTTGTCGAGGGGGCGATCCTCTGATCAGAACACAGTAGCTCAGTGTGGGAGATTGCCGCACTAACATTTGCATAGTTAGTACAGTGACCTCTCAATTTTTATTTCTTCAGCCCGCTGGGTTGAGTGAGAATTGACTTTACACATGTGTACCTAACATAAAGCTGGCCATACATTGATTGAAATTTGGCCGGCTCAGCAGGGATCAGCTGAAATTTGAAAATGTTGTTGCAGTCCCCACTCGACAGAAGTTGATCGTTTGACTTCTGTCAAAGGGTCATGTTAAAAAAATTTGACCATATCCAACTTGTCTGCCTGTATGTGTACTCAATTTGCTGCAAAACATTTTCTGGAGCATATGCTTCTTGAAATACACTGGACTATCAGTCTGATAAATCTTTTTAGCTGCTTGATTAAAGGTTGCAATTGCAGATTGAGGGGTAGATTTACTAAAACTGGATAGTGTAACATTTGGTGCAGATGTGCATGGTAGCCAATCAGCTTCTAACTTCAGATTGTTCAATTAAGCTTTGACATTAACATTTCGGTCACCTCAAACCCCACTTTGAAATTGTGCGACTTTCGCACAATTTCAAAAGTCGTGTGAGATGCCGATTTCAGGTGTGATTGCAAGCCATCTGACACAGATGTTTATGCAAATCGCACCAAAAGTAGTACATGTACTACTTTAGAAATTGGTGTGGCTCCAACCAAGTCACAACCACACTGATTTTACCGCTGTACTTGTGGTCAATAGGGTGCGACTTGGCATACGATTTTCAAGTTGCATGGCATATAAATCATATGTCAAGTTGCACCTGATGTGACTGGGTAGTAAAACCTGAAAACTGATTTGGTTTCTCTGCAGAGCTGCACCACATTTTGTACCATTCAGTGTTAGTAAATCAACCCCTGAGTGTAATTTTACTACAATATTCATTTTTATTTCCTTCTCTGTAGGATGGCACTGGCATTACCAAGGAACTGCACATCAAATTAAACGAAAAGACTGAAAACAAGGTAAACATCACAATCGTACAGCTGATATAAGGGAATACCTGGCTTATATTATCAATGGATATTTTATTATCATGGAGATTCTTTCTGTTCTAAAGAAGAACTTTAATATTAAATATTATATATATATATATATATATATATATATATATATATATAAATATATATATATATAATTATTGGGTTAAGATGCCCACTACCCCCCCCAAGAAAGTCCTACCCCAAATATATATATATATATTGTGGGAACTCGCTTATTCGTGGTAGAGCTTCTTCAAAGCACACGGCAACTCGCTTATTTTTAAGGGCCTTTTTGCCCACTTTTATTTAAATGAAAGTCCTGTAACATAAAGGTTTCCCGCGCAGGGGTTTCCACCATCACACAAATGCAAACAATGCTCAGCCTTCTGGCTCTCTCAGATATCCCGCTTTATATATGTCTCCTACAGACGCCTTCTACGAGGTTGCTTTTGCACACAGCAAACTTCTAGCACACAGCTAGTCTGGCTTCCACCTCTCCTTGGTGAAGCCCACCTGACTCCAAGGCAGAGACCTCCCGTCGCCAGGGTGGAGCCCTCCTGACTCCCATCTGCCGGGGTGGAGCCCAGAATCATGGCCTGGCCTCCCCTAAAAGGCCTGCACACACCTGTGCAATCAGCACGCTTGCTGCTCCCAAAATATGGGCCCAGGATTGAAGATTTCATCCCTCCCAAATCTCTAAGAAATCTCCAGGCTACAGGTCCCAAAACAGGCTTTACAAACCAAAGAGGAAACTGATAAACCAGTTTCCTCTGCATTATGAGATCTGCCTGGAGCCCCTCAACCTGTATAGTTGAGAATCCTGGGTCTCCATCGTGATTTCCACCGTGGCAGGATACTGCACTGCCACATATCCCCCCCCCCCCTTTGTTTTGATCCCGTAGGGGGCAGAACACACAAGCCCAAACTCTTTAATTTGGCACCTCTGTGCCAGCCTTCACCCATATGAGCCCATTCCTGACTGACCTTGCTTTCAAAGGGAAACTTTCCTTCCTGTCTTAGGAGGTGACTTTCCCTGTGTTTCTAGTACACGGACTTGGGCTCTATAAAGACACTGTGCCTTTTTACGGGTACGCTTCCAAAAGCGTTGCCTCTCTATTTTCCTTGGGGCCACCCAAGTCACCTTCCCATTAAGGAACTTCCAAAACTTGGTACCTTTCTGAGGATGAGGTTGACGCCTGAGTTTTAGGTGTCTGATAATATTAAAGCTACGCTGCACTTTCAACAGCCGGTTACCCTCTACCTTTGAAGGGGTCACGCTTTTACACACAAAAAGTGTGGGCTCTTTTATTGGGGTTACCTTAGTCCCTCTCTGCATTCTATGTACATGCATCCTCTTACTGACTAAAACTTAGCTCTGCTTGTTTCCCCCTGTACACTGCATGCTTCCTTTTGTCCCTGACATTCTTAGACGACAGCAATGTCCTACTCCCTTTCTGAAGTACAAAACGATTGTCTTGCACTTCAGATGTTTTTATGTCAGGGGACCTCTTTACAAATTCCACTTCCTTCAAGTTTTCCCTTGGGGAAGATATGCCATTTAAAGTTTCTCTTCCCAGACTACCCTCCTGAACCTGTAGGGGGGGCTAATTCTACTGCAGCCTTTAGCTCAGCTGTGTCTACCACATCCTTTACCACCACAGCACATGTTTCAGGGTTATCCGCACACATGTCCACATGACCTTCAGGTCCATCATTAGGTTTATGGTCACCCACAGAAACTAAATGATCAACATTTACCAGTGCCTCGCACTTTTCCTCATCATAATAAATATCAACATTTACAAGGGCCTTGCATTTTTCCTCATGGTCAGAAACATCCACACCTTTGTCAGAATTAATTTCAATGTTTGGCAGGGCAGTGTCTGGAGACCAAGTGCACAGCGTGGAGTGGTTGTCTCCCATGGCAACGTCACTATCCACCAGCTCCACTGGCACATGAACCTCTTCCAGCAACTGTCCTGACACCTGACCGTCATAACATAATTCCACATTTGGTTTACTGACCCCAATCACTTGATTTGTGCCATCTGACACTTCCACCAACAACACCGGCTCATTTGGTATCACACTATTCATTACTACACCATTCGATCCTTTGTGGTTTGTGGGCACGATCTCTGCTATGCGCTCAATCTCACTTGGCCTTTCCATTTTGGGAGGGAGACCATCTGCCGCAACAGCAAGTGCACCCTTGTCTATAAGCTGCTCTGCAGTCCCTCCATTTAGCACAGCAGAAGTCGTATCCACTCCACTGTTGGAAACAGAGGTCCCTTTCAACAAAGCCAACAGGTTTTCAGCCCATCTGTCCCAGTCTACTTTCTCTGCGCTCCAATCAGAGGTACTATGCAGTACTCCATCAACTGCAGGAGGAGACACAGGACAGAGTGGCTCAGCAGACATATCACATCTATCACTTTTGTTCAAACAAAACTGTGGCACTAAATTTTTAACCTCAACAGGTTGCAATACCACACCCTCACCACCATACTCTGATGGCACTTCATTCAACTCAGGAACACTTCCATACATATTTACTGACAGCCTCAGTTAACCCATTATCACCATCATACATTGTCAGTACTGACAGCCTCATTAACCCATTATCACCATCATACATTGTATTGTCAGTACTGACAGCCTCAGTTAACCCATTATCATCATGAGCGTTTAACTTATCACTAGATTCAAGTACTCTCTTGTCCAAAGCAGCACCATAGTTGTCCCAGGCAACCTCTGGCTCCAACACACAGAGCTCCCAGGAAGTTTTCATGGACACCTTTGCAGCCTTGGATACTGTTGCCAAGGGCAACAACATATCTTCAATCATATTCATATCAACACTTATCTTTAGTGAGCTGTGCTAGCTCATCACCAACCATAACCTTACATTTACCAACAGTAACACTTTTGTCGGCATTACCATCAGCATTCTCATTGCATATAGACATGACTGTGGTTTTTGCAGGTAATCCCTGGCTATTACCCAGCTGAGCAGCCTGTGAGCCATGCTTCACAGCACTCTCTCTCTTTAAAGGGACACTATTTTCAGTTTTATCAGCTCCATAGCTGACCTGGGAAATCCTCTGCTCCGTCACTGCGGGCTCCTGGGAGGTTTCCCTGGGCATCTCTGCAGCACCTGGCACTAGGAAACACGGTGCCATGACAGTTTTGGTCACCCCCTAGTCTAACTTCACCAGCCATCTGCTGGATTACAGCAGGCACATGCAGAGTCCCCATGTCCTTTTCCATATTTAGTCCTGCTAATCGTTGGGCTGTTCCCTGTGCCTCCCCACTACTCAGGGTAGCACACAGCAGCCAGTCCATGTCCATCTGTATTGTGGAACTCCCTGAAGGACAAACTCTCACTTCCTTGGACTCAGTCCCACAACCTGAAACAGTCTTACCATTTCCTGAAGCAGGTGTCATAGCCTTCACTTGAGTACGTAGTCTCTCCTCTGTGGTGTCTCCACAGGCTGACTTCCCCAAGTGGTCACGGTGCAACACTGCAGCCATTCCGGACCAACTTACACCCCCTGCAGGTAACACAAGATCCCTGTTGCTAGGGGTAGCTGCCAACATTTTTAAACATGAATCTGGGCTTGCAGATGAAGACTTTTTGCCCAGTAGCACCCTCATCAGTGGTATTCCATAATCTGGGGCAGGTAAAGATACCATGCCCAAACTGACCACATTCCAGGCAGGGTATGGTTCCACAGATAACCTTCTTGGGATACGGAACCACATCTCCCTTGTAGCCCTTTCTCCTGTTGCTATGGAGATGGCACTCTCCCAGCTGAACTTTGTGGGTTCCTCAAGATGCGCTGAACTCTCATCTCTGCATTGCCACAATCCTCTGTAGACGACACTTCTCTCACAGGGTCCGCAGGCCTGAAGTCACATGTGTTGCTATGGGCAACCACATTCTTCTGAAACTTTTGGGCAGCCTGCTGCTCCTTCCTGGAACTCCAAGCAGGCTTCCCAGTTGCATACCCAGACCTTTGTCTGTCTCCAAGTGCCCTTTATCCCAGCTTCCAGTACAAGGTGACAGAAACAGTGTGCCCCCATTCACTGCACCGCAAACAGCGCTCTTGCAGCAGTATCTTGGCCGAACTTCCAACACTGCATCCTCTTTCAGGCTTAGTACTCTGCACACAGAAAACTGGTTTCCTTTCACCAGCATTGCCAGGGACAACAGCATGCACTTCCCACTGTGGCAAACTCTGTGCAGCCATGTATGGGGCTTGTTCTGGTGGTAACAACCCCTCCAGCCACAGGGCTCTGTCACTCATTTCAGAAAATCTGGCTTCTTTTTTGAGTTTTGACCGCCCCATCTTTGCAGTCACTCCACAACACTTTTGCACAGTCCAGCAACACAATGGAGCACGGTCTCTTTAAGGCAAGTTCCTTTTCTCCTGCAGGATCTCCTCACCTGCACACACAGTGCAGAGTCATGCACCAAACACAGTTCAACACATGAACTTACTTCCTTGCTGGGATCTCTAGTTCTGCCCACTGCATCCTCCACCATATGTGGGAACTCGCTTATTAGTGGTAGAGCTTCTTCAAAGCACACGGCAACTCGCTTATTTTTAAGGGCCTTTTTGCCCACTTTTATTTAAATGAAAGTCCTGTAACATAAAGGTTTCCCGCGCAGGGGTTTCCACCATCACACAAATGCAAACAATACTCAGCCTTCTGGCTCTCTCAGATATCCCGCTTTATATATGTCTCCTACAGACTCCTTCCACGAGGTTGCTTTTGCACACAGCAAACTTCTAGCACACAGCTAGTCTGGCTTCCACCTCTCCTTGGTGAAGCCCACCTGACTCCAAGGCAGAGACCTCCCGTCTGCCGGGGTGGAGCCCTCCTGACTCCCGTCTGCCGGGGTGGAGCCCTCCTGACTCCCGTCTGCCGGGGTGGAGCCCTCCTGACTCCCGTCTGCCGGGGTGGAGCCCTCCTGACTCCCCGTCTGCCGGGGTGGAGCCCTCCTGACTCCCGTCTGCCGGGGTGGAGCCCTCCTGACTCCCGTCTGCCGGGGTGGAGCCCTCCTGACTCCCGTCTGCCGGGGTGGAGCCCTCCTGACTCCCGTCTGCCGGGGTGGAGCCCTCCTGACTCCCGTCTGCCGGGGTGGAGCCCTGAATCATGGCCTGGCCTCCTCTAAAAGGCCTGCACACACCTGTGCAACCAGCACGCTGGCTGCTCCCAAAATATGGGCCCAGGATTGGAGATTTCATCCCTCCCAAATCTCTAAGAAATCTCCAGGCTACAGGTCCCAAAACAGGCTTTACAAACCAAAGAGGAAACTGATAAACCAGTTTCCTCTGCATTATGAGATCTGCCTGGAGCCCCTCAACCTGTATAGTTGAGAATCCTGGGTCTCCATTGTGATTTCCACCGTGGCAGGATACTGCACTGCCTATATATATATATATATATATATATATATATATATATATATATATATATATATATATATATATATATATATATATATATATATATATATATATATATATATATATATATATATTTGGGGTAGGACTTTCTTGGGGGGGGGGGGGGGGGGGTAGTGGGCATCTTACACCAATAATAAATAAATATATATATTAATCGAAAAACACAATGTCCATGCAGTTTGAGTTATAGCCATGAACATGAATGAGGTTTCTGTGCATTCCTTAGTAATCTAATTGATCAAAAGAAAACTGCATATCCTAATAAATTATTAGATTTAGGAGTTTTTAGTTATAAAAACTAAATATATATATTTATACCGCCTTCTGTGAGTGCTATAATTTTTACATAAACCAATTCATTTACATGTATTGATGTATTTATTTTTTTAGCAAAGACGTAGCAGAATACATTTTGGCTTAAATTTGACACTTTTTTTTTTTTTTTTTTTGTGCTTTTGTTTTTTTACTGGACATGTTTTAAATAGCAAAATTTTTTTTTTTTTTTTTAAATAGTACAAAAAATTAAACACACAGGCGATAAAATACCACAGAAAAGAAAGCTCAATTTGTGGGGAAAGAGGATGTAAATTTAATTTGGGTGCAGCGTTGCATGACCGAGCAATTGTCAGTTAAAGTAATGCAGTGCCATAACGCAAAAAAAAAAAAAGGCCTGGCCATGAAGGGGGTAAACCCTCAGGAGGGCAAGTGGTTAAAGATTCTGACACACTGAAGCTGTACTATATATTGAATCTGAAAACATGCTTGCAGTGTTGCCGGGTCTGCTTAAAGGTTCTGACATTGAAGCTGCCCATTGTTTTGGATCCAAGGTGTCTAACCTGCTGCTGGTACCAGCACCCCTAACCCAATCTCCTACTGTCTGTAGGATAGTATAGATAGTAGGATGTAGCATGTCATTCTCACATAGGGAAAAATAGACTGGAGTATAAATAAATACTGTATATAAAATATATGGGAATTTTAAAGTTCAACATTAAAACTTTGAAAAGACAAAGTGACTGCCACCCAATTTCTGCTTTTATCTGCCCATTGTAGCCACAGACTCAGCCCTGGGGTAAATGCTAGCTCACCTGCCTCTGGAGGTGTTACCTTGTCTTCAGAGGGTCAGGGGGGTGCTACTATAAATACCAATTGGGTCATCCACTCCAGGCCCGCAGTATCTCTCTATTTTTAATGGATCACCTTACATGAACTGCTAGTTATTGCTTAATAGGTTTAGACCTTCTTTGGCAGGTTGCCATAAAAGGTGGTGCAAACAACTAAAACAACTTTCCCTTCTTCTAAAAAGAATATAATGGATTTATTCAGTAAGCGGATGCAAGAAAGGGCAGTTGGCAAAGTACAATTACTTATAGCAAACTGGAATTCAGGTTTCTGTAGTGAGATTAGCGAACTATAACTTGAAAGAGGTTCCTTTTACACTATCCAAATGTTTGATCGCTTTTTCTTTTTTTTTTTTTAACATTAGATGTTATGAGGAGAAGCGAATTATATCTTAAATTATTTTTTTAGGTTGCGTGTGAGCATAAAGTCTATATTTCTATCAAAGGAGAAAGCTCTGCTGAGCAAGAAGCACCAAAAGAACAAGCCAAATGTATAGAAGGTAATTGAAGAGATTTGTCATTAAATCACGGCCATAAAACAAATCTACAACTTAAAGTATATTAGTAGACTAGTAATACAGAAATTGTTTTATTAACACACTGTAAGTTTATATTTTTATGCAATATAGTCAAAAAAGGGGTTGCCAGATTAGGAGGTAATTTTGCTTCTATTCATCTCTACATTTTGTAATTGCCCTGTTAGTATGTCTGAAAGGGGGATTATACTTTGATTTGTCTTTCTCGGGTCTCTCCTTCAGTGAATGACTGTAGTGCTGCCAAATGCTAAACATACAAAAATGAGGGACTGGCAGAGATCTTGGCAAGCCTTTTGATATCACAAGCAACTTGTAGAATTTACAGAGGAAACTCCACCCCCCTGCCCCCCATATATTTTTTTTTTTTCTATTCCCTCCCCTCTTACCTTTTTTACAGGGTTATCTTCATATTTCCAGACCCAATGAATCCAGCATTGTCCTGCTGCCACACACTGGGTCCTGCACCTGTATCTTCCCTTTTTGCATCAAGATGCTGCCAGGTCTGCCCTTTTAACCGCTGTATGTCCCTGCTTCTGAAGCCTCCTGAAATAAGTGATGCAGATATCTCAGCAGGCTGCGGGAGCAAGATATGTCATTCTCACCTAGGGAAAAATAGACTGG